GCAGAGATAAGGAGCACAAGCTTTCCTCCAGCTGTGACTCAGGTAACGGATGAGCAAGACCACATTCCTCCTGCTTGAATGAGCAGATCCTGGAGACGTGTGGCACCCCAGAAAAGGACTGCAGCTACAGCCACCACACCCTCTCCTGAGTAGAGCATGTTATTCCCCTTAGAAGGATTTTCTCTAAAGGTCTTCTAATGCTTTGAGTTTTTCCAGCTGCATCCAGTACAGCCTCCCATGAGTATTACACAGCTCAGGGTTGCTCCCAGCTGTGGAAAGTTTATTTACCAAATAGCACACTTCCTAGCAATAAAAAAAATCAGTTAAAATTAGTGAAAAGGTGACTTCAAAAAAACTACACAGAACCAACAGATTACACTGCAAGTCAGACCCGTTTCATCTTCCACTTGTTTCAGTATCACATCTTCCACTGCTAACTCATTCTCATCAAAACCCACTCTCTCTTCTGCACACTCTTTTAAGAGCAAACAGTGAATAATCAATCACACTTGGGCTCACTGAGCACTTTGCTAACTGGGCTAAGACCAGCATGAAAGTAGACTCATGAGAATCTTACTTCATCTCATTGTTCTGCTTTTAACATCACCGTGTCACTGCAAACCAAACTACTGGTGTTCCTCTTGTTCAAGTGAGAAAGTAATTCAGCAGAGCACAGAGAAATCCAGAGTTGTAGTCCAGCTCTTCATTCCTAGTTTGATTTCTGTACGGCATTATTTATACTTGTATGTGTAACTCCATTTGCATACGACATTGTGAATACTATGTAACATTAGAGTTAGTTCAGAACTTTTAAAGGCTTGATGACAACTTATTTATAGATAGAAACAGAAAAGAATATGTTCCGAGCTTCTTTCTTCAAGAGAAAGAATAAAAATATCAACCCCCCAAATCCTGAAGTAACATTCATTATCTTCTACAGATAGATCACCTGGATCTCTTCCAAAATTCTTCTGTGGACATCCCCTTTGGACACCACCTGAGCCAGCACCCCAGGTTAGACAGACCTTCAGTCCTAGCACAGCCAGCCTTGTCAGTGTGGGCATTCATCAGAAAACGGCGTGTTACAGATTACACTGTAATTTGGGATATCGGGTCCTGGATTCAGTGACAGAGGCATTTCTAGTTCTACACTCCCAGTACTAAACCGGTACTGTAATATTAATTCACAGCACTAATCTCTATATCCTACCAGGCACACCCTAAGTAATCCCAGCCTCTGATATGGTCCAACAGAAGTTAGAAAAAAAAGAATGATGATGAAAAGCAGCACGGAATCACTTCCACCTGAGGAAAAATCAGAGGTCAGGGTTTTTCAGCCTGGAAGAGATGTTCTGGGATATGTTAGTACACACGCAGTTTTTTTCTGTTTCCCTAGACGTCTGTTAACAGCCACTGTCACTACAGGCACTGAGGCAAAATCAGCGTGAGAAAAATCAACGCAATAGCCAAAGAAAGTGATGGCTATTCACAAAATCTCTACATTCGTTTTACCTACTCACGCTCATTCTTTACAAATTTCATCCACTCACATTCTCATACCCACAGACTCACAAGAAGCATATACCTAAGTGGTCTGGGCAGGACCACTTGGGTGCAACACCGAGGGTGCCAGCTATCAAGGTCTCGCCACATCTCTCATGGTCTTCCTGTTTGGCAATGATGGTTTTGGACAAATCTTTTACACCCTTCAGGAATCAACAGTTGTTTACAGGGTGGTCCTTTGCTCCAGAATCTCACTGCAGCTTCAATCAATACCAGACTGCTGCTCACTATCTATCTGTCCAAGTTAGTTTTCATGGGGGAGTAACAGAAAAACAAACGGCACATAAGACACGATACAAAAAAAGAGAGATAAGGATGGAGAGCAGCACGAAACCACTTCCATCTGAGGAAAAATCAGAGGTCAGGGTTTTTCAGCCTGGAAGAGAGATTCTGGGATATCCTTTCCTGTTGTTCAGAAGCAGGGTCTGCTCTTGATGAATCATACGTGCTCCAGGCTTATCAGAGTGCAGGCCTTGACAAGAATATCGGATACTCAATTTTAGTCCTGAAAACAGTGTCACAGAATCATAGAATCATTTAGGTTGGAAAAGACCTTTAGGATTATTAAGTCCAACCGTTAACCTAGCACTGCAAAGTCCACCACTAAACCATGTCCCTCAGCACCACATCTGCATGTCTTTTAAATACCTCCAGGGATGGCAACTCAACCACTTCCCCGGGCAGCCTGTTCCAGTGCTCAATAACCCTTTCAGTGATGAAATTTTTCTGAATATCCAATCTAAACCCCCCAGCGGAACTTGAGGCCATTTCCTCTTGTCCTGTCGCTTGTTACTTAAGAAAAGAGACTGACCCCCACCTCGCTACAACCTCCTTTCAGGTAGCTGTAAAGAGCAGTAAGGTGTCCCCTCTGCCTCCTTTTCTCCAGGCTACACCACCCCAGTTCCCTCAGCGGCTACACGTAGGACTTGTGCTCTGGTTTTCCACGTTAATATACACCATTCTTTCAACCTCTGTCCTGCACAGATACGTTTCCACATGCGTTTCACTCATACCATGCTTCCTATTTCTACTATACAAGTCAAGACTACTGACCTAACAGGTTTTTGATCTGAGCTGCGAAAATTATGTTAAAGATTTTCTACATCCTCCCTGCCTGCAAAAGCCAGAACACAGTTTTGCCCACAGAGCTGTACCTGGCATTCTACATACCCAAAACTACTTGCATGCTTTCTATGCTAAATTTTTGTAAGAGTACGTTAAAAATAAAGTGTAAGAACTGTCCCCATTTCCGAAGCATCTGTACTAAGCAGGGCGAAGCGCTGAGAAGAGAGAGAAACGCGCCAGAGCAGACAGACAG